CCTGACCTAACCCAAGATCAGCTCGCATCCCCTCAAGCATTGTCTCGTATGAACCTCAGTTGGTCTCTGACTTTCCAGGGAGTGCTTGAGTATCTGATTCAGGCTGTCAAATTCTATATCGAGCATCCAGATCTCCTAAGGGAGCATCGATTCGAGGACAATCTTCAGCAGATTCGCGATAGTTTGAGAAAGTACAATATTGTCATCCCAAGTGATGCACCTGGATTGAATATTGATGATCTCGAAATGAAACCAGCTGTAAGCGGTCGCGGTCTAAAGGGAGCCGGCTACATCAACAAGAACCTCGTTGATAAGGAAGGCAATCCGATCAAGTACCATTCCAACCGTGGATATAATCTCGCGCAACTCGAAGGCACGGGATCTTACAGTTCCATGGCTTACAAGCGGGTTGGTACCAAATTCGTTCATCTCCCAAAGCTCAATGAAAACCTGCTTAAGGTTGTGTATCCCAACCGCTCGACGGTCGGTCGTCAGTGTAAGATCAGCGATGATCTCGCTCAGCTAATCAAGACGCTCGTATTCGATGGTACGATCGATCAGCAGCTGTATGACTCGATGTCGATGGGCGACAAACGCGTATTTCATGAGTTGCTACGCATTACGCACACTCAGCATGCCATGAGAGATCCCGTCAAGGATCCCCGCGATGTTCTGAAACAGGAATACATGAAGCTCAAAGGAGAGGTCATGCTTGGAAACGATAACCCAGAACTGGTTCGCGAACTCAAGCAGGTACTCGTAGATATGTACTCAGCCAAGCTAATTTCGGATGACGAATTCAAAAAAGTTTTGCTTGTATTTGTTGTCAAGACTGATGTGACGACGCCTCGCCAAGCGACCGTGTGACGCGAACGCGTCATCAGTGAGGTCGGCGTGACCTTCACTGTGTTGTACCGCAATCATTCAGGTGATTACGGGACGATGATTACGTCACGGTGATTACGCCATGATTGTGGGTACAGGATTGTGGGTACAAGATGGGCATCGACGTGGCGTTCTCTGATTGGATAAGGTAACTGTGTATCCAGTAGAGAATCCAGTAGGGTGTACCCAGTAAGAGGTATCCAGTAGCAGGCTTAGAGGTAGCACGCGGTTGAGAACTAAGGACCTGAATCGAATCACTTTGCATTTTGCCAACTACTGCTCAAGTGTTCTTCCTTTTCTATTGTCATATACACTGGATACGTCCTCTGAATCGGAATCGACATATTCAATTTCAAAATCCATCACAAAATATTGGACTATGTATATATAGAGCGTAATTAATTGCGATGACTCAGTGCAAGTCAATGACCCAAAATGATAAACCTTGCTCCCGGAGCGCCCTTAAATCTGATTTCTGTGAACAGCACGACAAGGATGCTAAAATTATCATGTATCGAAAAGAACTGACCAAGATGCATCAGCGCGTAAGGCGATATTTAGAAATCAGCAATGATCTCCATTCGAAGATGATGGATATTCAAAGGCTTGACTATTACAAGTCTGAGCTGATCAAACTCGCCGGTAATGGAGTACCATTCAGGGCAATACTCAGCAATTCTTATTTTAAGGATCAGATCGAAGCGTTATTTGAAATGAGTATGGCTGAAGCTCGCGATGAGTATGATCGCCTGCTCAAACGGAGAAATCAGTTGGTCCATCCGCATACTATCGATGGTTGGGCTGGTATGCGATATTGTAGAATTTCATGCTAATGACCATCAATTGTGATAAAAATAATATTTTTTTGCCGAAAGGATGTCTCTTAAGCTATAATCTACGATGTTTCCATCTTTCACAAGCCTATCACAGAGAGAGCGCAAACGCCAAGAGCTACTTCGCGAGGCGGAGAAGGAGCTTGCTATCGAGCGAAGTCTCAATCAGCGATATGCTGAAACGATGTGGGCGGCTGATAACGAAACCGGTACGATTAGCTTGACGCCTTCGATGGTATCAGCATCTACGCAAACAACTACGTCCTCTACTCCGGCTGCTACCACGGCGACTGCTCCTGGTGTTTTTTCCGCACCAGATAGTCTAACCCGAGATATTAGCGTACCTGCAACGGTATCCTCTTCTAACGCTTCTGATATGGTCAATCTTGACACTGATCATATCATGTACCGTCCCGACGAAACTATGGATGAAGTCGTATCCAAAAGAGAGGATGCTCAGACGAAGTCATACAAAGCGGTACAAGCATTGTATCAACAGAACCCAGATATTGCTGGATGGGATCTTCATCCTCTTTTCGATCCAATGCAGGTATCTGATGCCAAAGCCAAGCGGGATATGTACTTTCTAGGCCCTGATGCTAAGCTATATCACCGATCGACCCGCAAGGCGGTTCGTAAGGACAAGCAAGAAGATTTGATTGATCTAATCGATTGGGAGGCGACATTCGCATATATCTTTGAGCGGATACGACTGGTTGATGGTCATTCAAAGGCGCGAGAAGTACGTGAGAAGCTTGCGGCAAAGCGCGGAGTATTCAATGCTTTGAGAGATAATGTTGGAAGCGACGAGAGAGATCGCTTAGGCGAGAGTCGATCCACTCTCGATTCGATTATTGATCACGTCGTCGCTGAAAACATGTCGAAGGACTCGCGCACCAATGATATCGAAGTAGATGCTAAAAAAACGTTCATGCAGATCGTCAAAAACAATCGCAAAGTCATTAATGACAGCCTTCTACATGGTTTTAATGGCAAACCTGGTTTTTACGCGGTAGGTCGATCTCAGGATCTACGAGGCTTACCCGGACCTCTATCAGATTACTACATTGATCCGATCAATTTCAAGCTACGTCAGGTATCTAACCATCGCCAAACTAATACCAAGGTAGAAAGGAAACGGCTATCATGGGCGAATTCGCTTCAGTTCCTATTTCAAAGCGCTCAGAACAATGGAATCCAACTTGATACATCTGGTACAAGCATTAGATCGGCAACCAAGCGAGCACTCGAGGATAGTACGGTATCCAATCTCGACCTCGAGCAAAAGCGACCAAATCTCAATGAGCTGAGTCGGGATGTTGGAACAGATGTTAATATGGTTGAAGCCGCAGGCGACTACAAAAAACTCGTTCATGATTTATACACCGATAACCCATGACTTCTCCAGGAATACCTACCCCCGGCTGTATCCAAGCTGAACAAACAATACAATCCGAATGGATACTATATCGACCTCAACGCCGGCATTCGGCGCATTAAGGGAAGCGCTCCTGACCTAACCCAAGATCAGCTCGCATCCCCTCAAGCATTGTCTCGTATGAACCTCAGTTGGTCTCTGACTTTCCAGGGAGTGCTTGAGTATCTGATTCAGGCTGTCAAATTCTATATCGAGCATCCAGATCTCCTAAGGGAGCATCGATTCGAGGACAATCTTCAGCAGATTCGCGATAGTTTGAGAAAGTACAATATTGTCATCCCAAGTGATGCACCTGGATTGAATATTGATGATCTCGAAATGAAACCAGCTGTAAGCGGTCGCGGTCTAAAGGGAGCCGGCTACATCAACAAGAACCTCGTTGATAAGGAAGGCAATCCGATCAAGTACCATTCCAACCGTGGATATAATCTCGCGCAACTCGAAGGCACGGGATCTTACAGTTCCATGGCTTACAAGCGGGTTGGTACCAAATTCGTTCATCTCCCAAAGCTCAATGAAAACCTGCTTAAGGTTGTGTATCCCAACCGCTCGACGGTCGGTCGTCAGTGTAAGATCAGCGATGATCTCGCTCAGCTAATCAAGACGCTCGTATTCGATGGTACGATCGATCAGCAGCTGTATGACTCGATGTCGATGGGCGACAAACGCGTATTTCATGAGTTGCTACGCATTACGCACACTCAGCATGCGATGAGAGATCCCGTCAAGGATCCCCGCGATGTTCTGAAACAGGAATACATGAAGCTCAAAGGAGAGGTCATGCTTGGAAACGATAACCCAGAACTGGTTCGCGAACTCAAGCAGGTACTCGTAGATATGTACTCAGCCAAGCTAATTTCGGATGACGAATTCAAAAAAGTTTTGCTTGTATTTGTTGTCAAGACTGATGTGACGACGCCTCGCCAAGCGACCGTGTGACGCGAACGCGTCATCAGTGAGGTCGGCGTGACCTTCACTGTGTTGTACCGCAATCATTCAGGTGATTACGGGACGATGATTACGTCACGGTGATTACGCCATGATTGTGGGTACAGGATTGTGGGTACAAGATGGGCATCGACGTGGCGTTCTCTGATTGGATAAGGTAACTGTGTATCCAGTAGAGAATCCAGTAGGGTGTACCCAGTAAGAGGTATCCAGTAGCAGGCTTAGAGGTAGCACGCGGTTGAGAACTAAGGACCTGAATCGAATCACTTTGCATTTTGCCAACTACTGCTCAAGTGTTCTTCCTTTTCTATTGTCATATACACTGGATACGTCCTCTGAATCGGAATCGACATATTCAATTTCAAAATCCATCACAAAATATTGGACTATGTATATATAGAGCGTAATTAATTGCGATGACTCAGTGCAAGTCAATGACCCAAAATGATAAACCTTGCTCCCGGAGCGCCCTTAAATCTGATTTCTGTGAACAGCACGACAAGGATGCTAAAATTATCATGTATCGAAAAGAACTGACCAAGATGCATCAGCGCGTAAGGCGATATTTAGAAATCAGCAATGATCTCCATTCGAAGATGATGGATATTCAAAGGCTTGACTATTACAAGTCTGAGCTGATCAAACTCGCCGGTAATGGAGTACCATTCAGGGCAATACTCAGCAATTCTTATTTAAGGATCAGATCGAAGCGTTATTTGAAATGAGTATGGCTGAAGCTCGCGATGAGTATGATCGCCTGCTCAAACGGAGAAATCAGTTGGTCCATCCGCATACTATCGATGGTTGGGCTGGTGTGCGATATTGTAGAATTTCATGCTAATGACCATCAATTGTGATAAAAATAATATTTTTTTGCCGAAAGGATGTCTCTTAAGCTATAATCTACGATGTTTCCATCTTTCACAAGCCTATCACAGAGAGAGCGCAAACGCCAAGAGCTACTTCGCGAGGCGGAGAAGGAGCTTGCTATCGAGCGAAGTCTCAATCAGCGATATGCTGAAACGATGTGGGCGGCTGATAACGAAACCGGTACGATTAGCTTGACGCCTTCGATGGTATCAGCATCTACGCAAACAACTACGTCCTCTACTCCGGCTGCTACCACGGCGACTGCTCCTGGTGTTTTTTCCGCACCAGATAGTCTAACCCGAGATATTAGCGTACCTGCAACGGTATCCTCTTCTAACGCTTCTGATATGGTCAATCTTGACACTGATCATATCATGTACCGTCCCGACGAAACTATGGATGAAGTCGTATCCAAAAGAGAGGATGCTCAGACGAAGTCATACAAAGTGGTACAAGCATTGTATCAACAGAACCCAGATATTGCTGGATGGGATCTTCATCCTCTTTTCGATCCAATGCAGGTATCTGATGCCAAAGCCAAGCGGGATATGTACTTTCTAGGCCCTGATGCTAAGCTATATCACCGATCGACCCGCAAGGCGGTTCGTAAGGACAAGCAAGAAGATTTGATTGATCTAATCGATTGGGAGGCGACATTCGCATATATCTTTGAGCGGATACGACTGGTTGATGGTCATTCAAAGGCGCGAGAAGTACGTGAGAAGCTTGCGGCAAAGCGCGGAGTATTCAATGCTTTGAGAGATAATGTTGGAAGCGACGAGAGAGATCGCTTAGGCGAGAGTCGATCCACTCTCGATTCGATTATTGATCACGTCGTCGCTGAAAACATGTCGAAGGACTCGCGCACCAATGATATCGAAGTAGATGCTAAAAAAACGTTCATGCAGATCGTCAAAAACAATCGCAAAGTCATTAATGACAGCCTTCTACATGGTTTTAATGGCAAACCTGGTTTTTACGCGGTAGGTATTGTCAAGACTGATGTGACGACGCCTCGCCAAGCGACCGTGTGACGCGAACGCGTCATCAGTGAGGTCGGCGTGACCTTCACTGTGTGGTACCGAAATCATTCAGGTGATTACGGGACGATGATTACGTCACGGTGATTACGCCAAGATTGTGGGTACAAGATGGGCATCGACGTGGCGTTCTCTGATTGGATAAGGTAACTGTGTATCCAGTAGAGAATCCAGTAGGGTGTATCCAGTAAGAGGTATCCAGTAGCAGGCTTAGAGGTAGCACGCGGTTGCGAACTAAGGACCTGAATCGAATCACTTTGCATTTTGCCAACTACTGCCCAAGTGCTCTTCCTTTTGGTTATGAGCCCAAGCCCCGTCTTCCCTGACCAAGACCCCGACTACGCCTTCGCCATGGACGCCGCCCCGACCGCGACCGCCCGCATCAACAAGTTCGACGGAACCAACTTCCACACATGGAAGTTCAAGATGCAGATGGTGCTGGAGGAGCGCGAACTGTGGGAAGTGACGAGTGGGGAAGTGAAGCTCGAGCAGTGCACGACCGCGGCGGACCAAGCGACGTTTCGCAAGAAGTCGCGCAAGGCGCTGGCGATCGTCTGTCTCGCGTTGGAGGACTCGCAGCTGCCGCTGGTGCGGTCGGCGAAGGACGCGCATGATGCATGGTCAAGACTCGAGGGACACTTCGAGAAGAAGAGCCTGGCGAACAAGCTCTTTCTTCGTCGACGGTTCTTCACGACAACGATGGA